CCTGGTCAATCACTTGGGAACGAAAGTAATGTTTCTACGTGCACATCTGCATTGTAGCTCCAGACTGAAGGGCTTTGAAGGCCTAGAAGCCTGAGCTCTGTCTAGAGGTGATCTGCCACTTCAGAGTTTTCAGGTTCTTCACGTTGGGAAATCTTAGCATAAGCTAAGCTTAGAAAACTTAGCTGAGAAGCTTTGATACCAGCCATGGGTTACCAGCCTTAGTGACTTTTGGATGATCTTACCCTTGCATCAAGAAAGTCAGATTTTCAGAGCTGTCTTCTGTATTGCACTTTCATTTGTTATGTTTAAGGAACGTCAGAACAAACAAATTGTAGTATTTGCTGGTTCTTACTAAAATAGATACATCTGTTTTATCTGAACATAATTTCTTTTCATTGCGTATTTCGCTTTCAGAATCAATAAAACTGGTAAGAAACAACCCATAGGGTGGGGTATTGACACTTTAGTTATCATATGACCAAGACGATCTAGAGTAGTTAAACCCCCCCCTTTTTTTTGTCTCTGTCTAAAGAAACATCCCTATTTTGGGAAACATGATGGGGGAAAAAAGCTCTGTTGTCATCTGTCTGTACCCTTTTTCCTTCATATAGTGGAAAGGACAAATAGATTTGCTTGCAGGATAGCTTAAGGGTATAAAAAGCAGCAGTGAGGGAGGAAAAAACCAAAACATCACTGTCAAGTATGAGCTTGAATGGGAAAGGTTATCCTTGAGGCAGGCTTGCTGTTGAGTTTGGAGAACAGTTTAGAAAATACTTCAGCTTTTTTCATGGATGGAATTTTTTTTTTTTTTCATGGAGGTATTCGTTGTTTTAGGAGGAACAGCTGGAGATTTTCTACTACTGTGATAAGTTTCATACTATTTATTTCCATATAAAAAACAAATTAATGTGGAACAGAGATTATCAGAGAGGAATAATATAATAATATACTTACATTTATTCTGGGCCTTTAAGTCTATATAGCAGCTTGCAAACTAAAAGTAAAATAATGGTGTAAGTTTTTTTGGAGAAAGGGACTGAATGTTATGTAAATATAGGTTCTACCCTTTCATGGTAAAGCTTCATATTTTTCTGATGTGCAATGAAGGAAATTGTGCTATCTGTAATCATAAAAGGAGAAACCAAAAGACATCAGTTCACTTCTGTGCTTTTGGTCTGGACCTGAAGGTAACAATTCATGATTTGGAAAAGTGTGTGTGGTCGTGAAGAGTACATTGACAGAGTCAACTGAAGATCCTGACTTCTTCAGACACCTTTTAGTGGAAAATTTGCCAAAGGACTTTCCAGTATGGAGTGACTGGGTGATTAAAAAAAATTAAAAAGAAAATTGTAATTTTACTTTAAAAATATGTAGTGTAATGCACAGAGTGAAGAAAACAATTTTAATTTCACAGTAACGACCTCTGAGCTCATTTTTATCACTCAAGAACTAGATTTAGGGATGATAATAATTCTATACTCAGGTTGCATGCATTAGCTGTGAACTGAATTGATAGAAAGCATAAGTTTTTGGAAAAGGAATAGGAAGCAAAACAAAAAAGGGGGAAAAAAAAAAGCATGTTGAAAGTCACACTATATTCAAATGTGTTCCCTTAATCTCAGAAAGGAAGATGTAGTGGAGCTAAAACAGTACAGAACAGGAGCGCCTCAAAAATTTTTAAATATATCCAGTGATAGGGATACAATATACAGATTAAGCAGACTAGAAATTTCTCTAAAGGAAAACTCAGAGAACCTGATAGAAGCAATTAAATTATTAGTGAAGTAGAAAATGTACATAGTAATAATTAAATATAAACAAATGCTTGCTTACTCTCCCTTCTAATTTGAGAACTGGGGGCATCAAATTAAACTAGCAGGTGAGTTTCTAAACGGAAGGTGTTTTTTCATATTGTACAAAGCAATGACCTTTTGTTCAGGAAGTCTGTGATCCACAAATAGCTGAAGATGCCTAACTATTCTGGTAAAGCATTGCTATATATCGGACCTGTTCTTTGCCCATAGGCAGAGATTGGTGATCTAAACTAACTCATTCTTCCTTCTGACCTGTTACAAACAGATTTTTTTTATTCTTTCAAAATGAATTCACTAGGTAAGAGCAAGAGCTTGAACTATATACATTTTTGGCTGGTACGCCAACATGGGTCAACAAGCTTGGGGTTAGAATCCAAAAGCTGCTACTAGTTAACAAGTCATCATATGAGTCAGAGTAAGTGTCAGCATGTGAGATCTTAATCTGCATAAAGCTGAAGTTGTTAGGCTGACTTTTTCCTACTGTGAAAGGGAATCGTGGTTAGATCCAAATGCACCCAACAGTCCAAGGCAAGATACTTCATAAGTATGTAGGAATGACCTGTGTACCTCAGGAAATTGAAGGCAGATTCTAAAATTTGGATGGCCATGACAGCAATGCAAAATCACATCTATGCTAGCTCTAAGGCTGTTGAATCAGAAATGTATTCTAAGATTTTTTCTGTTCCAAGGATAGACATAACTTCAGGTAGCTGTTTCACATGGCATGTTTGCTAAGTCTGTTTCCCCAATATTACCATTCTGCTGTGGCACTAGCATTGATGAGCGTAATTTATCTGTCACTGTCTCTATAGAGTAGCTCTGAAGAAGATTAAATGACATAACACAAGCATTGCCGATATGTAGCTCTTCAGTGTATCTCTTACAGTATTGGTATCTATGACAGGGCTGAATTATGTCATCATCATTGAGGCTGATGTCTGCCCAAAACACAAGCCTTTACCATAGGTATCACTTACTTGTTCTAGAAATTTTGCACTTTGATGCTGAGCCTCTATATAAGCATACTAGAGGTTCATAATACGGTATGGTAGACCAGGGTCTGTCCTGACGCTAGTCAAATTTTACTAAGTATGCTGCTCGGTTTTTAATGTACTTTCATGATAAATGTTGCATTGAAAAAATACTTGTTGAAATAAGAACATGTCACTGAGATCAATTCCTGACACTTCAGAAAAAACACTTCATGATAGCGAAACCTTGATGCAATAAAAATCCTGACCCTTTAGAAAACTTCAGTTTGCCTCATCCGAAAATCGAGTTAAACTCCCAGAGAGGGGTAGCGTGATAGTCTAGAAAGAGGACTGAAAAGGTCAGGAAAAATAGTAGAAGTAGTTTGAATGTATTTAAAGTTAATTTCTTATTAGAAGAAAAATGTTCTGGAATCCAAATAATCTCTTTGACAAAATTCTAAGATCTTGAGATGGATTGTGAGCTATAGAAAAAGAACCCTGTGATTTGATGTAAAGTGATATGAAATCTGTTAATGAAGTGTCTTAAATGAAGTACTATTAGCATATATGCCATAAAATCATTTTCCCTGACAGTAGCCAAAGGTATGGTTTCATAATCCAGTTGGGCAAAATGAGCAGCATCATTTTTGTTCTCTTCCCTTCCCTCATCTGTGTTATTAACTCATTTGTCGGCGTTAGTGCTGTGATTGATAGTCATTCAGCTGAGTCACCTCTGTAACAAGGTAAAAGTGCAGAGGGTATTTTTTGTTCTTTATTTTTGAGATGTTAACGGGGTTTTGCTGTTGAAGTGTATGAGTGACCTTACTGTGAAAACCAGATGAATCCCAGAGGTAACTAAAACTAGACAGCAGGACAAATGGATTAATGTTGGAAATGGAAGCAGAACCTCCCTTTCCGGCAGTGTCATACTGCTAATCAAATTCAGGCTGTATTGTTATAAAAGCATGTTCTAAAATTCCTTATCTAAAATTATCACAGCAGTAACAAATAGAGTGTTGTGATAACTGAGTTATATGTTAATGCACTTTAACAGTAGCAAAGAACATTGGTAGGAAACTACCAATGAGATACTTTATAAGTGTTTTAAAATGACCTGTATATATCTCAGTAAATTAAAGTAAGATTCTAAAATTGGGAGGTCAGTTGCAGAAATACAAAATGACAGCTATGCTGTGTCTAATGGCTGTTGAATCGGAAATTTATTCTAAGATTTTCCAATTTAGTGTTGTCAGTTTTATGCATAATCTTGTTCCACATAATTCTATGGTAATCTAAATTTCCTTAATCCTTTTCTCTGGCTCTCTTGTGTTTAATGTTGAACAGGAATTAAACTTATAAATAAAGTAATTAGGGATCCTGTTATACCGATTTTCTTCCCCCTACCTTCAGGGCTCAAATCGTGCTGTGTACTATTGGTCTTGTTTTGAGCTTAGTTCTGGAATTCTACATGAAGTGTCACACAGCTGTGACAAAGTACTAACGGGCTGCCAGCAGTTAACTTACAGGCTTTCTGGTTGAGGTGCATCCTTAATGCTATGCTGTTTTTTGTTTACATAATTCAGAAAACAAATTAAAATTTTAGATCTGTAGAGTTGCAAAGCATCATTGTTTTGAGTTTAATCTGCCAAAGTATTTAGTCAGTGTGTTGGTTAACTAAACACGAAGTAGTTGGTCTGAAGCCAGTAAATAGGTTAGTAAATGAAACCTGTATTCTGAACATAGGCTGTACTTCTGTCATATCCCATTTTGTCCTTTACTCTTCTTCTGCTACGTTATTCTCCTTTCATGGCTTCTGCTTTTTTTCTTCTATTTTCTGTGTTACTTCTATCTGACTTGTCAAAACATGATAGTTCTGAAATAATGTAACCAGAATTTCCATTTCATGGGATTTATTTGGATTAGGAAACAACAAAGTGCAAAAGTAAGATGTTTTGTGAAATATATGAGTCCTTGGTGGTAGAACCTCAGAACCTGACACACATTCTCAAATGCAGAAATGTTTTTTGTTGCCCCCACCCCTGGCAAAGGGCTGTTAGTTATGCAGTCAGTGTATGTGTCACATTTGTCTCCGTATTATTTCTATTATGTAGACATTTTATGAAGCATTTCATACTGTTGAATTAGGTAATAAGAAATCTGACTTTTAAATATTTGTCTTTTGATCAGTTGCGGCCAAAATCCTTCTGTTTGGATTCTGAACTATGACATCATGGCAAGATTTCGCAGAAGAACATGCATCATTTTGTTGCTTTTTATTTTGTTTATTTGCTCCATAATGATGGCTTTGAAGACTCTGAGACCTGACAGAGCTGGCTTTGGGGATCCATTTGGACTTGGTTTGTTGCCCGAGCTTCAACAACGGACAGTGCTCTTAGACAATAAACAGAATTCACCAAATAGGGTTCAAGGAGATCCTGTAACGCGTGTCAATAATTTGCATAGTATCGCAGTCAATACTATGAAAGTATCTATGCCTCCTGTAAACAAGCTGGAAGAAGAGCTGTCTTCTCCTAATTATAACTTTCACATATTCTACTATAGTTGGTTTGGGAATCCACAGTTTGATGGTAAATATATTCACTGGAACCATCCGTTGTTGCCACATTGGGATCCCAAAATTGCAAACAATTATCCAAAGGGAAGGCATAATCCTCCTGAGGACATTGGGGCCAACTTTTATCCTGAACTTGGATCTTACAGTTCCAAAGACCCTTCTGTCATAGAAGCCCACATGAAACAAATGCGTTCAGCTTCAACTGGTAATGAATGTTAACATTTCAGCATGTTGTTCATTTATCCAGCCTTAAATATGCGAATGAACACAACTGACCCATTATTCCATTTTTCTATGTAATTCTGGAAATGTCTGAAACTAGTAAATGTCTTTTTATTTCTGAGTTTTAACCCTCAACGGAAACCTGCGTCTTCAAAGCTGTGTCTGATGAGTGTAACAGCACAGAAATGTAAGAACTATATTTGTAATCCTGTAGGCGCATGCGTTTCATGACTTACTGTTAAGCACTAATAACATATGTAGAAAATACAGAAACCATTGCTAGAATATATTGTCTGTGTATTTTATTTTTGGAGATGAATACGTCAGTTTTAAGAACAGGTTTCAGTAAATCACGTTAACATGGTGATGGAGCAGTCAGTTCAGATAGGAGCATTTTTTTTTCTGAAATATACATAAGAATATTCAATATATTTTTGGTGTCAGTCATTGTTGTTGGGCTTTACGGTCCTTTTTATGTTCAAGCTAATATTAAACTCTGAACAGCTTCTGTAAATGTAGTTGGAGCAATACGACCAGAGCTCATAGCATTATTCAGAGTGCTAATCACCTTGAATTGAATCACTTTTATTCACCTAATCATTAAGGTTTGATGTAATTGTTATATTCCCATTAGTAGTGTTTATTTATATAATGGTTACTTCCTGATTATTGTTTTCTCCTAGTTTTTAACCTAACCTGTATTTTGTACAAGGTTAATACAAACATAGGAAATTTCTCACCCTTTTCAGTAATACCATAACTCCATTAACAGGAACACTAGCAACAGTGGGAAAACTTGCAGATAAATCTCAGGTATTAGTTGCCAGTAAGCACTTTTTTAGTCTTATCTAAAGCAAAATAATGCATGATAGTGTGATGAAAGCAGAGAGCGCACTTGTAGCTTTAGAAGGATCTGTGATGTTTCTCATCCTCTTAATACAAATGTTTAATAAAACTTAACTTCTGGTGGAAAAAAAATAAGGTTTTTTTAGTAGCTTAAATTAGTTTCCCATTTAAAACTCGGCAATGTGAATGAGTAGTTCATGCTTCCTGTGACATACTCTTTGTAACATATTACTGATATTTGTCAAAAGTGATATTTTTTTTCTGCTGTTACTCTGAGTTACGGATTTAAGTACACTTGAAGTTGTTCTCTTCTGATTGGGCCAACATAAATCATCAACTTTTTTTCCTCAGGTCATTACTTCAAATATTGCATCTTTTCTAATAAGAATTATAATTTCATTTTTTGTGTACTGTGAGGTTGACTATTTACAGTTTCTTCTTTTTGTCTCTTAGCCAGTGTCTAACCTATGACTGCATTTTACATTCTGTCAAATAATAATTTTTCTTCTAGCCTTTTTTGAGGCTTTATCAAGGATCTTACAAAAGGAGAAGAATGTAAGTGGTTCTTTCAGCCAATATTGTGTAATGATCAAAGGCATATAAGAGATTGGAGCAGCAGGAGTCTCATGCAGTGCTTCATTGTATTCTTCTTAGATTTTACAGTTCTTTCCTTATTTATTAATTTCCTAATTTTAAACAGATTAATACAATAGATTTTATTCCTCAGATTGCTTTGTGAAATTTATTTTTTTGCACCAGCCTATTTTTGTGGTAGTCCAGTTTGAAGTCCTTCATTTGTCTTGAATGACTCTACTCTGGTTTTAAACATGTTTATGCTGTTGTTTTTGGCACTGAGTCCATCCTTTTTTAGACTCCTGAAGTAGTACATAACTTTCTTTTTTAACCACAGGAAAGAAAATATTAAGTAATCTTTCTCAGGAAAAGACCAATGCAAATGTGAATTTAGGTTCCTCGATGAACAATTCTGTCTCCTGAACTTTCCCTGTTTCCTAAAGGTAGAGGGTCTTGACAGATGTTGTGTTCAAGATACCTCGAGTGTAACCTGAGTATGTTGCTGCTGTTCTACTTGTCCTTTACATCTTACTCGTTTGAATTTTGTCCTTTTCTTTTGTGTGAAATAAAAGATAGGGTGATAAAATGCAGTAAAATACTACATTTTTCTTGTCCTTGAGCAGGTGATCTCTTGTGATAGTTAAGTCTATTGTGATTCTCTTTTTGATAAAATGGAAAGAATATGCTGAGGGTAGTTGAACTAACTTCTCCTATGTGTAGTGAGCTCAAATTTCTGCTTTTGATGTCAGAAGGTGATTGTGTATTCACTGTAATTTATGCTTTCTTTTTCGTAATTTTGGACTTGTTTGTTTGGAAATCATTAGTCAGAAATGTTATGTTAGTAAAATAGATGGAATTTAGCGTATATACTTCCCTATCTCAGTGACCTGATTTCTGTACTTAAATCTTTACATAGTTAAAAAGAATTTACTTTGACATTGACTTGTTCTTCCATATGTTTTTAAATGGTATAATTAGGAAAATATTTCTACATCAGCATTTCATGTATTTCTTTCTGTCTTACCATCTTCCTGATATTATTTCCAGCTACATACCTAAGAGGTCTAACTTATATATTTATCTGACAGCGTTTTATTTTAGAAGGCAAGAGTTTAGCCTTTCTGAAGAGGTATGTGTTCTTTTGCTTTCATGGAGACCATCAGGAAAATCTACAGTATAGGGACATTGTATTTGTTGTCATCTTTTTTGACAGGAATAGTAACATCCTTAAATTATTGAGAGTTACTCAAGCATTTTTTTTTAGGTAATAAATTTAAAAGCTAATTTCACATGGTTGAAAGGGTAGATTACACCATAGTAACTGCTTTTAGCAAGAAGGAAGGTTGTGGGATTATAATCACTGCTTCTAGTATGAAATGAGAGGTACAGAGCCAGAGGTACAATGCAGAAATATGGCGGGGAATAAAATTACATAAAATAAGAACCTCTTTCATCACATGCATAACCCTCATCTCTTGAGTGTTTTCTAACTGTATGTATCTCGATATTCTCTGGCTGTACTGTGGCATAGTTATAATGCCTTAGTTGGGACCATTCTCCTCCTCTTGGTACAACCTGGAGGTTGGGACACCACTGAAAAGTGGGAGGGAATGGCTCCAAGTGTTAGGCTTGGGACACTGAGCACAAATCTTTTCCCTTGGCAGATGATCTTACCACTGTTTGTTTTGTTGTCCTTTAAACAAAGAAAGAAGTTAAAATTCACATTTGAGAATACTGAGAATTCGTAATTGGTTAAAAAGTAATTTGAAATTCTCATTTATATTTTGTAGGTTTCACATCAAACAATAATGATAACTTACGAGAATGATACAACATTCATGTTATATGTTAAACAACATGATTTAAAACTTAAGTTTTGTATTTTCAGGTGTAATAGTGCTTTCATGGTACCCACCAGGTATGGCTGATGAAAATGGAGAACCAACTGATGATTTGGTGCCTGTTATTTTGGATTATGCACACAAATATAATCTAAAGGTAAAATATTTTTAAGATGCATAAAATAGGACTACTTAGGAAAGTAAACCTTGCTGAGTTTACTACATTTGACTCATGGCGTAGAGCACGGGGGCTTGTCATGTAATGATGGCTTCTGTTTCTGTTTCCTATTACACTGCACTTCTTTTCGATCATAGAAGCAGCTGTAAGTGCCCTTTGAAATACACTGAATTTTGATAAGACCTAAGCAATATTGCCTTATAACTAGAATGAATATCATAATCTGCCTTTTTTCTGGTTTGGTTCAGATCTAAAACTTACAGAATCTAAGGTATGGTGTTGTGAATTTTTTTTTTTTCTTTTTAGGAAACAGTTTTTAAAATTAGAGAATATGTTGTTTTCAAATGAGTCTTGGGAGTTGAGGGAAGTATTACATATTTCAAAATATTATGGAATACAATGATCTGTAAACTAAGGAACTTTGAGAAAGAAAAAAGACTAACCTCATTTTTTGCATTACTGCATAATTTGCTGGCGCCTGATCATAGAAGTCGGGACCAAGCATCTATGAGTAATAAAGAGAGATTTAGAAGTTCTAGTTTGAATGAATGTCTTTATTCCAGAAGGTATCAGGAACATTTGCCTTGGACAATAAGGTCAGAGAGGTGCTGCTCTGACTTCAGGTTACTCCAGGGCACGAGAGGATACAAAGGCTAATTACCGGCTTCCTGAAATATGTGAAATATCAAATCAATTAAAGATTACGTGGATTGATCAGTAGAATCTAAAATCGTGCTTTGATTTCATTTATTTTTAGACTAAGACTTGTATTTTCCCTTGAAATAAAGAAAACGTGTTGCCTTTGAGTCTTGCCAAATAATAAATTTGAGTTTTTAAATTATTTAAGTAGCTGTATATGTTTCATCTCTGGAGGGTGTTGTCTGTAGTGGGGACTAAAAATGCAGCCTGTTCATCTGCTCTGGTTTTAGTTGGTCATGCAAGTTGCAGGTTCTTAGAGAAATTTCCTGTCACTAGTAGCAACTGTAGATTCTTTGACAAGCAGGAGGAAAATAGGAAAGTTAAATCGGATACAGGAGTAATTTTGAAACTTAAATGCTTTGTGAATTGTATTATGTGACATAAGTTGCACATATGTAATAGTAAATTATTAAAAAGAAAAAAAAAAGTATTATCCTTCCCCAAAATTTTCAGATCTGATGGAGCTTGCTGTCATGTAATAGAACTTGTTAACATTTAAGTCTCTCAAAGGAGCCAAGGCAAAATGAAATAAACTACCAAGGAAAATGCATGTAATATTATGGTAATGACTGGAACTGCTGTTATTGCTTGGAATAATTACCAAAATACAGATCTTAAGGACAGATATTACCAGGAAATGCCACTTTCACTGTAATGTTTTTAAACATTCTTGCGCTAGTAAGGTATTACAGTTAAGTGTTAGGAATGTCAGGAGACCAAAATCAACATACAAAATAGATTTCTATTATGTTTGCTAAAAGATACGTCCTTTTGATTTGCCTGGTTTTGGTAGTTGGAAATGAAATATGAAATTATAGTGCTCTTCAACCTGTCCTGTTAGTCCTAGTGATTTAGTCTAACACTCTCTTTTTCTATAGTGTGTACCAAACAGAGGTAGATATTGCAATGGAAATTTGCTACTGTTGCAGAGCTGTTGAAGAATTTATTAAATGCATTCTGCTCTAAAATTGCTTCTGAAAAACTAGTTGCTTTGATTAATGTAATATACTCTTCCATTTAATTGTATATTTGGGAACAATGGCATTTTTACATGGAAATGACTTCACAGGTTAAATAATTCCATAAGCTCCAAGCTTGAAATTCAAAGCGGTAACAGTACCTTATATTAGATTTAGTTCCAAGAGTTTATTGCTGTTGATAAATCTATAAAATTTTAAATTAAATTTTTCATATCCCATATCTTAAAATCTACTTTGACACTGAAAACTCTCCTTGGAGAATTACCTATATCAAATTTAATACATTGTTTAGAAATTAAATATTAAAATATTTCATTGGTTAATCAGTTCTTTGACATTTGAGTAGATAATATTTCAATTTTTAGTTTCTGCTGTAGTTTTTTTAAGTTTTCTGAGACATGCTTTCTACTCACTGTAGGCTAGGGAAAACAAAAGCAGTCTTTTGTTTTAATGTAAAAAACTAAATATTTACTCTATTACCAAAGTTCCTTGGATCTGAAGCTTCTAATCTTAGCAGTGCAGGAGCTGAATTAGGGTTGGATTATTCTCAAAATAGACTAACAAAAATGTTTGCTCTGTAAAAAAGAACTGTATTTAATGTGACTGGTGCCCATATATACAGTAGTATTTTACGTTCGTGTTGCTCTTACTACGTTTTCATCTTTCAGGTCACTTTTCATATTGAACCTTACAAAGATAGAGATGATCGCAGCATGTACCACAATGTCAAATACATCATTGACAAGTGAGTGCTTTCAGAATGGTTTCCTTTGGGATTTGTTACATGGTTTAGGGGACTTCTGTATATTATCTAAAGCTTGGAAGAATATATAAAAATGTGTACTGAGACTGAAGAAAACGATAAGAAACTTTGTTCATATTTCGGTGGTACAAAACTCAGTCTGTTTTTTAAATATTGAAGTGTGAATTTTACATAGATACTGAAATGTAAATTGCTTTCAACATTCATTAGTATCACAAGTCATGATACTTCAGATTAAAGCAGTTAAAGTATTAGCTACATGATATATAAATTAAACATACATTTTTATAGTGACAAACTAGCAGCTAGAGCTTTAATGTGTTGACCTCTAATGATTTTAATTCAGCTTGACAAATTCTGTACAGCTACTAGTTGTTTTGTTTATCAATGCTACTTAGACTGTCTTATTTCATACTGAATTAGAGAATTGGCCTTCAGAGGAAACTAATACCTATAGTGCAGTTTGACACTAAGTTACTAATTTGTAGTAATTTAAAGGTTCTTTGCAGATTCATTATTTAATACTTCAGCAAATGCTGGACTGAAAATATATATGAATTGCTATGTTTTGAAGCACATGCACTGTCTTTTTAAATTAGTTTTTAGGAAAAGTCTGCAGTTATAAAACAGTATTTTCCAAATGGCAAATTTTGTCTTAATGATGCTTGTTTGCTTTATAGATATGGAGGCCATCCAGCCTTTTACAGGCATAAGACCAGCACAGGCAGATTTCTTCCCATGTTTTATGTTTATGATTCTTACGTAACAATTCCTGAAATATGGGCAAATCTGTTAACTGTTTCTGGATCCCAGACTATTCGAAATACTCCGTATGATGCGTTATTCATTGCACTTCTTGTAGAAGAAAGACATAAGCATGACATTCACAGAAGTGGCTTTGATGGAATGTACACATACTTTGCCACCAATGGCTTCTCCTACGGCTCATCTCATCATAACTGGGCAAGTTTAAAAGCCTTTTGTGATAGTAACAACTTAATGTTTATTCCAAGTGTGGGGCCAGGGTATATTGATACCAGTATCCGACCATGGAACAACCACAACACCCGTAATCGTGTCAATGGGAAGTACTATGAGACTGCCTTCAGTGCAGCCCTTTTGGTGCGGCCAGAAATTATTTCTATTACATCTTTTAATGAATGGCATGAGGGAACTCAGATTGAAAAAGCTGTCCCCAAACGGACTGGACAGGTGGTTTACCTTGATTATAAGCCCCATAAACCAAATGTTTACCTAGAGCTTACTCAGAAGTGGTCTGAGAAGTACAGAAAAGAACAAGAACAGTGGCTTATGTGAGCTGTTGCTGTTGCTGCTGCAGTTGTATCCGAACGCATTAACTACATTGAGAAAGAAATTGAGAGCTGAAAAATCTGTTACTAAATGTCTTTATTATAGATATGTTCGAATTATTATCTCTCTTGAATGTATATGCACTACTACTGAATTTGAATTTGGAAGAGTAAAAAGATATTCCTGTCTTATTGGATATTGTATTTCAAGAATATTCAGGGAAAATGCTGGGGTTTTGTTCGTTTGGGTTTTTTTTTTTAAACTTTGTAACTTGCACGTTGAGCTTCCAGAACATTTGCATGGGATAACTGTACATGACCAAAGTAGAACAAAAATTTGTCATAGTTATACTTACTTCCTTTATTCTTGTAGTTGTGTTTCTAATCAAAGTGATGCTGTAATCTAAATTTTTATCCTGATAGCTTCTTGCAGGATGCATGTCTGTAGTGTGTAGAATAACCTACATCTACTGTTTTTAATGCTTTGCACACAAGGAGTTCTTGACATATGACTAGTTTGGGGTAAAAACACTGAAGATGTATGTGTGATGCAACACTAGTGTTTTGTTTTTTTTTAAAAAAAAAGTATTTGAAAGATTGAGTTCCAAAGAACTGCTGAAAGATTTATAGTTTACTTCCATTTGTTCTGTTCAGTACATGGTGCAGACTTTTGCAGATAACTGGATACAGACCAGTAACATAGTTTTTTCTATGTTACTTTGAATTTAAAAAAAAATGTTTGAAACTGAGAGTGGAAAAGATTTTTTTGAGGGAGAAGAAAACCCCTAAACATGCAAAAAATATACTAAAACTTCCATTGTTATATGTTGTCTGCTAATTGACTGCAGACACAGATCTAGTGTGTTGTTAAAGATATTTAAAGATTCTAAAGCTAATATCTTACAAGTCCTACAATAAATATAATTTTAGGAAATGCTTTTTTTGTTTCTGATTTAGGAGCAGTCTAGTTTGGTAGCAATGACAGCAACTACCCATTAGTTTAATTTGAAATCTGAGATTTCTATTTTTCATATAGTTCATCCAGTTGTTCCAGGATTCAGAATAGTAGATACTAAAATTTTGTTATCATTCACCTAAGCTCCCTACCAACACTACCGTTAATACTGTGGTGTGGCTGGAAATGAGTTCTTTCAGACCTAAGAATCTCACCTTTCAAATGTTGTGATTATTAACTGTATTTCTTAATGAAGCTTGAAAGGATCAAGTCATGGACGTGTCTCCTCAGCAGTTCTTTTTTTGGCATTTTCATACAGCTGCATGGAAAACTCCTGAACTTTGGAATAGTAGAAATTGCAGTGTTTTGTTTATTTGCAACAAGTGTTTAATCTGTAGCTAAGTGGCTTTTTTTAGTTGTTTTTTTTATTTATATACAAGGTGTTGATCCTGTGTTTTAGTTCATATGCTGGAACTGTTGTGACCACTAGAATTCCATTGATTTGAGCAGGACCCATGGAAATTACACTCTCTACTTGGTTCTCACAGTAATCTGTCGATGAAGTTGTAAGGTGGACGTGAGGACTTCTTGTTTAAAAAGGAAAGCAAACCAAAACAGCATGTTTTTTTCCAGAAACCTTTGTCATTCCAAATAAACATAAGCGAGTTACTACTAATATTTTCTAGAGTCCTTCTGGTATGAAAAAGGTTTGTTTATGTATCTTTCACTTATTTACAGTTTAATTCTCTTGTCATTTCTCTGCAGTTGTTAAAGAGATGAGGTGTCATATAATGCCCTCAGCTGCTTGAAAAAAAATGCAGAAATTGGGTGACAGATATATAACCTGGCATGTTGAAGCGCGCCTCTAGAGTTATTGGAGTCTTATTAATATCTCTTTATAATTTTTTGCATTTTCCTACTGCATTTCTGCAAACTCCAAAGTGCTCTTGAAAGAAATGTTTACTAATGCTTATTTTGTTTTACTTATGCTCAGGATAAACTGAAATAGATATAGTATGACCACAGTCACAGAATAGTGTCTGAGACATATGAAGCACTTGCTAGACTTTTACCACTTCAAAGCTAACCACTCACTCCCTTTTCAAAGGAAACTGATTTATATGTTTTTACTATAAATCCCTTAAATAGCTATACATAATTTGTTTTTATAATTTGTTATATGTTTATGCTTTTACAGCCCAAAGAGCCCATATATTTATTTTAAATTTGAGGGAATTATTAAATTTTTGCATATCAGTATTGCATATATTATTAAAAAATCTTCTGAAATAAAATCTTTTGAAAAGACAAGTCTCTGTTTTCCCTTTGCTTAAACTTTTGTCATCCACCAGTCTTTTTCTCACTGTAGTTGTCTGAGCACTTTACTAGTCTTGACAACCTTGCACTCAGCTTTCAGCTCCTTACTTTCTCCTGGTGGCAGTTTATTTTCTCTGTGACTATAAAAGTTGCTCCTTTTGCTGCTTTTTATAGAAACGTTTGAAATTTGTTGTAGAGTATTGTACAAGTGAGGTGATCTATCTTGTTCAAAATATAATTTATGGTAACAGTGTAATGGATCTTCATTACTCTGAAAGACTTCTGTAATTGCTATAAAGGTATCATTTAGCCCTTGAACCCATGAAGTGGTATGGGTCATGACACACTGGTGTCTAATAGGATCTTTAGAAGAATTTACAGAATTTCTGTAGAAAAGAATGAAAATTAAGTGCCTAGAAATTCATTGCCCTTGAGCACTTACTGTATTTGTATGTGTTTGATGTGTTTTAAAATATAAATGAAACCCAATAAAACATTTCAGAGTTTAGAATTTAATTTAATGATCCTAAAGAGAGCAGATGGAATAGCAGCTACTAGAACTACCCCACCTGCCTGCCCAATACTTTCTCTGTACTTAGAGCAAATATTAGTGCTGCTTCTTGTTATAGGGGATGGAGAGTTTTGCTGATGGACTGCTGCTGCAGTCATGATAGTGTTTGGAAATTTGAGTAAAAATAAGTTTGTGGGAGAGGATTTGTACAGATGCAAAGGAATAAGATTGTTACAAGTGCACAGTTATTGGGGTGAGGGAGTGCGAAGGTGAAGCTTTACAGTTACGGTAAAAAAAAAAAAATACTCCAATGTGCAACCAAAATTGTGAGGGAGGTAAGAATATTTATTATGAGTTTCAGATCTGAAATGAAATTTAAGGAATATCTAGATCCTATTTCATTTTGGCTTCACACACCTATTGTTTCTTGACTAATTGAAAAAAAAATGTTGTAATGATTACTTTTAATATTTTTACACTGATTAATTGCATTTGACTCATCTTGTTATAGTATGTTATAGTACTTAGAGTGATATACTACGTTTATGTAGATTAGGCAAGAAACACTATGGGAAGTTTTAATAGACATCATGCCATGCTGTGCCTCTGCAAATATAGAAGTACCTGGTTATCGATCACATACTACTGACTGAGTATCCCCAGAGGGGAAATGGTTTCTGAGACAAGTAGCAAGTCTTTGTGGTAAAAGAGAGCTTCTTTTTAAAAGAAAATCTATAGGTTCAGTTCTGCTTCTGTCAGTTGTGATCAAGTAAATTGTTTTAGTTCTGTGAGCATCTCAGAACTGAAGCTTAATACATCTTCTCTGAAATAAGAATTTATATTAAATCTTGTATAGTAGTGCATGTTTCTCAGATCTATAAACTTGTACTGAATTTTGAGGGAAAGAACACGTGCATATGCTGTTACTGTTTCAGTGGCAAGCTCTAGATTATTGTGAATGTAGTTTCTGTACTGATGTTCATGGTGTTTGTCTAGTGCCTTTCTTTTGAGGGGCCAATGATTTGTCTCTTAAGAGGTTGTTGAAGCAGAAGGGTCTTTAGTGAACTCATTTTTATTATGAAACTTGACATGTATACACTGCATAGTTTGAATTAACACATTTTACATGTGGCTCTTGGGTTCTCTTGAAAACATTTCACAGGAATGTTTTCAGCACTGTGTTGCTAGTAGGAGAATATGGGCACATGGACAAGGACATACTGTAATTTAGGGAACTTTTTTTGTGAATCTTGTGTACCTAAGAAGAGGAAATAAAGTATTTACAGACAAATTATATACCACTTAATGTAAGCTGAAAATCTCTCTCCCAGTCTTAAGGTATTTTACAAGTATTGGTCCTCATCTTTCTACTTGCTTAAGATAGTGTCAATATTTCATTCCTTTTTTATTCTTTACTTTTGACCAGCATGTTAAATGTTGCATAAACTTCTAAAGTGGTTGTATTTCTAAGACTTCATAGTTGTAATATTCAGTAAAGAGAATCTACAAGATTACTGGCACTGCAGAATAGCCTGATAAGCATTTGATATTGTATAGGTATGATTTTGTTGTGAATGGATAGTGTATCTTTGCTATGTATTGGACATGAATAAAAAAAAATTTCTTTTAATACCCTACCTGGCTGTGGCAGAGATGCATTTGCTTACATGCATATATATATATATAAACAAGTGTGTGTGTCTATTTATATATATTATATATGTGCGTATAACTGAAGTCATTATTTTTAAAGTACTATATCGTTTTAAAATTACAGGTTGGATTCTGCTACTTTTAAGTAAGCAATGTTTTTAATTCCCTATGATGTTTACAGAAAAAACTAGTTGCTTATGTATGAATATTTTCATGAACAATAAATATATGCCCAAAAAGTGTGATTTAAATGGAGTGTGTGATAATTTTTTTAATAATATGAGTTCAGAAAGTGAATTTTTACTTTTCTATTACAATATGTGTGTAGAATTTAATTAGACTGAAAACAACAGGCTTATCACAATGTTTTTAAACAGACAATATTCCTGAAGTTTTTCGGCCTTTTTGTATTACATCTTATTAGGCTACTAAGTGAGTTCACTAGTGCATAGTATTGCAGGTATCTTTGAGTCCTGAGGTATGACTGTATTTTGACAAAGTAAAACTGAAGTTTACAGTTCATACAGAAGTTTAAGAGGGTTGGGCACACAAATAATTAGCCTCGCAGGAGAATGACCCCACTGTAGTATTCAGTTGTAAACCAAAGAAGTATTTGTTGCATTCTGATGGTATATTATGCTGTTCAGGTATAAAAACTCCAGAAGGTAAGGGTTGCCACTTAAGTTTCACAGAAATGTGAAATTACCTTCTTGGTA